AATCAATGTTTCAACACACAGAGTTACGTTCACACACTCACATCCGCAGCTTAAGTGAAGCACATGCAGACAAAGTCAACGGCAATCGATTCGAAACAACTCAAAAAGATGGTACAAAGTGGGTTTTTTATTTCATTTTCTAATGTAAAGTTTATATTAAAATAGAGAATTTCGATAAATATTATGGCATGGCGTAGAATTTTGAGGGTATCAGCACATAAATCTACTAAAATACGCACATCTCAAAATACTGATTCACTGCTGCCGACTCTTGTCGATTTCAAGTTTACATACTTTGATGAAACTAATTTGCATTACTATCCAATGAGTCGTAGTCTTTAGATGAGTACGCAAATGCATTTTTATCTATAAGAAGTACTATGTCAGTTTCTCGTCGAATAATCATATCTTCATCGGATTCTGCTTCCTTAGGTCGGTATTTTTCAACTTCTCGCAGATGTATGCGAGCCATGCGTTTAGGTCTCTTGTAATACTGTTGAGCTTTTCGTTTCTGTGCTAACAGACGATAAATATTGGCTATATTTTGGCAAGTACAGATTGTTGCTGAATGATCGAGAGGCAGACTTAGAGCATTACTAGTGAGAGCACGTTGATGATCATCAATGGACTTCTTATACTGACCAATCTTGCAAAAGACAACACCAATATTATTCCAAGAAACAGCCATGTCTGGATCACGTGGACGCAAATATATCTTGTGCTTGTTCAAGGCGAACCAATGATGAAATTATGCTGGGTTCAATAGGCCAACTCTTTCATAGACTATACCAATATTGCTCAATTTCGTGAGCACTAAACGAACTCTAAGTGGAAGAAATTTCTTTTCTAGTGATAATGCTTTTAGAAGATAGATTAAAGCTGCCTTGTATCGTCTATTTTCTAAATAAAGAAAACCCATATTATTCCAAGTAGGAGCTAACTGCTCTCGATGTTCGGGATTCCTCAATGACAAGTTTTGGACAGCTTTTTTATAATAGAACGAAGCCTTTTTACCTTTGCTCAGATGCTCATAAATGGAAGCCATCCCCAAATAACTTGGTATAAGATCTATATAATCATAGGAATCAGAATCAAGAATTACTCTTTGTGCCTTTTGTATGTACTTCAATGCGTCTTTGTATTCACCAGTTTCTTCACATACAAGAGACAGACCTAAAAGAGTACCAGCTATATCTTTATGAGAGTTTGGAAGAATTTGTTTTTGAATGTCGAGTGACCGTTCATAGTAAGTTCGGGCTTTAGTATATTTACCGATAGTATTGTAAATTTCAGCGATGTTTGTATAAGTTGTTAACAAATCAGGATGATTTGGTGGTAGGAGCTTCAGTTGACAAGATAGAGCTATTTGCTCACACCAGTAAAGTGCTGGTATAGGTAGAGACAAATCCGCCCAAGCCATTCTTAAATTGGTATATAGCACAGCAACCGCCTCATTTTCCTCTAATCTCCGACTTCTCACTGTGTCAACAGCTACTTGATGAAAGTGCAGAGCTTCACAGTATTTATGAAGTGCTGCAGCAATCAAACCCAACAATGAATATGTTGCTGGCGCAAAACAGTTAGCTATCAATTGTAATTGTAGAGCTGAATTACAAGAAGATTCAGCTGAAGCTAGGTCTCCAAGTTGATACTGATAGAAGGCTAGATCTGAGTAAGCTTGCATTTTGACATCGTTTGATAATGAATCTTCTTTGAGTAGTAACTCACAGAAACGTTTCGCTCGAGTATACTCACCTATATGACTTAGAACACCACTCAACATGAGTAATGTCGACCGATCACCAATATTTTTCCTTAAAAAAAAATTCTCTAAGAGATTCATCAATGCAGCTATGTTCAAGTAATGTCAGTTGGACGAGCCAAAGATCATCGATCCATGTATCGACATCGACGATTCGAAACATACTACCCATGCTGAAGAGTACTTCATCTTCGTCTTGATTGTAACTTACATTGTTTATAGCTGCAAAGGGTATTTTCCATTGTTTATCAATTTCATTTTCAATCTGGATCTCGAAAAAAACGCGCTCAAAATATGGTCGAACAAAAGCACCAGATTGAAATGACAGAGCGACATTACTTAATGTAGTTGTTGACATAACTGTGTTCACAGAGTAGATACCGCCTTTATTTTCTTTGAGTTTCTGTAATTCATATGCTGAGATTATTTGTCCACGATAGACCGTGTGCACTAAAGATGAATTCCTTTGTGAATGGTGAAGTTAATCTATTTGCCGTTGCAAGTCGACGAAAATATCACGAAATTTGAAGATATTATCAATATTTCTAGTACGAAGAGCTCGATTAATAAGACGAAATAGGAAACAGTCACGAGTATACCAGCGAAGAGCTTCATCACAAGTGTACATTGTTTCAAATTCATCTATTTTCTTGATTTCTGACTCATTTTTTGCGTAACACCGTCGACATTCATTGATTAATTCCTTTCTTCCTTGTATGGTTTGGGGTAATCGAAGTAAAACATCAATAAGTAATTGAAACCACATAAAATTAGCTTGATCTTTGTCAATATTCTGAAAAGATGTTCGATGTACGTCCTGCATCGTGAGAATATTCGTCGATATGAAATGATGAGCAAGTAAGTTAGCGTCACGTTTTATAGCTGCAGCTAGTTCTTCTACGATGTTGAAAACACCTCGAATTTTACGGTATTTATTAGCCCATTCTCGATGTGTAATGATATCCTCGCAAGAAAATAAACACACTAATAATCTGTGTTTGGTCGTGTACCAATGATCATATACTCTCACCTTGGGATCCACTAACGACCATAAGTACTTTATCCGCCATGTCGAGTGTCGATAGATGGGCTAGACATGCTTCGACTGAGTTAACAATACGAAGACATGTAAAAACAACTGGTCCAAATCTACATGACGATTCAGATAGTCTAGTCCAGACATATTTTGAGTCAGTTGTTTATCCAACCAGACTATTTCAAATTCTTCTTCAATTATCTTACTCATTGATGTCTGTAATACATTATTTAAAACCAAGCTAGAACAGAGGTAAACTAAACTGTGACATTAGCACCAAGAAAAAATCGAAAGAAAAACAAACTGTTTTGATTACAGTGAATGGTCACATGTCAGGAGAGAGAAATTCTTTTCACAGAACACCGTCAGCTTTTTGATTATAGCATGTGCTATACGATGGAAATAAAAAAAATTGGTTGCTTTGCTTTCTTTTTTACATAAAGACGCTTGTGTAACGTAAAATGTATGGTGAAATAACGTTTTACTAATTTATTACTTTACACGCATCTATATAAAACATAAAAAACCCATAGACGACTTGAATCGATTTCAAGCATATTTAAGTGATGAAAAAGAAACAATTATGACATTTTTCTTGATTAAATGGGAGATTTTAATCGATTTTCTTACATAAATCATTATGACTCATTAGTTGCTAGCCAATAATAAGTGGTTCCTGCATTAGCATTGACTAAAAGCGATTAATAGCAACTATCATTGATTATCTTTGACTTTTCAATAATTAATTAAAATAAAATCTTCGTTGTAATCAATTTTCATCCCCAATGTAAAAAATTACGGAAAAAATCAGATTATAATCCATTAATTTTTGATTTAAAATCAATTCAAATCATACATGCTGAGGGTGTAGGTGTGGGTGGCCGTGAATGTACGCATGGTTGTAGGTATATCTCTTGTTTTAATAGCCACACCCACACCCACACCCACACCCACAACCACACCCACACCCACACCCACCCCCCCCCCCACCCCCCCCACCACCCC